TAATAATGCATTTCCTACTTGTAGATTATATTCTAGATTTTCTAGTCTTTTATGTATATCCTCAAAACTTTCATTCGTAGTGTTTTTAGGTAAATAGGGATAACTAGGTTTTTTATGTTTTTTAACCTTTTCCAAAAATTCTTCAATTATATTTTCTTCATCTACTATATTCATCATAATTTTTGGTTCGTAACATGGCTCTGATACCATCTGGTCGGAGTGTGCAGCGGAGGGGTTAATATTTTTGAGCCAATTAGATTCTTCATAAATATTTAAAATGTCACAATAGAATTTATAAAATTCACTATTTTTTATCAATATTTTTTCTTGAATAATTATATTTAATTCTTTAATTCTTCTTCTTAAATTAAGAATTAATTTATATATGTCTTTTTTTCATTTTGATTGCTTCGTTATCTATGGAATCATTTTTATTTTTTATTTTTGGGTCTAAATATTCTATAAAGAAGTCTTTCAGATCTTCTTCTAGATAGATTAATTCGTTTTCTGTATAAATTTTTAGATCAATAAAATTTTGTATAATATTTGGATCTAGATTTATTAAAAATTTATGATCTATATTTTCTTGAGGACTTATTTGAAGATTTTTAGACATTGTAATGGCTTTGGTTGCAATTTCTCTATTAAGGGTATTTTTGGAAAATTAGTTGTTTGGAGACTAGTTTCCAAATGTTTTTATTTCTTAGACTAATTTGGAAAATCCTCCTTTTATTTAGGCTATTAAGTTGTATTTCCTCCTCTCTCTCTCTCTCTCTCTCTCAATTCCCTCGACTCTCTCTCCCTCTCTACCAATAATTTTCCCCAATCTCGCCGAAAGACAAGGTGCCAACGGAGGACCTCCGCGAGCGGTACTGTGATGCCCCCGTAACGACTTCGCTGTAGCCTCTGTCGTTCACAGCAGCCTCAAACGGCAACGCTAAGGCTGTTGCGAACTCGCCATCGCTGGGAGGCTATTGCGAACTCGCCGTCGCTGGGAGCCACTACCAGAAATCGCTGCCAATGAAATGAGATTGTGGAACGATCTGATGTTTTGCTGTCGCACTACTGCGTGTTCCTCCTTGAGAGACAATGTGACGGCGATGCTCTGTGTTATAGTTGTGCAGTGTCGTGGACTGTAGGAGTGGTGGTTGTGCGTGGTTGCCATGTTGGATGTTGTGTAAGGTGCGATGGTTGGGTCTGCTATTGTGAAAGGGTGTGGTGATATTGGCGGCGTGATGGTGGCTCCGGCAGTTTGTGGTGCTAGTGTTGGTGTCTTTGGTGGCGACGGTTGTGGTGGTTTCTGGCAACGACGGTAGAGCCGGCGATGATTTTGTATTGTTTTGCAGTGGTTTGCATTGGTTTGTGATAGTGGTCGTGGTGGTCATGGCGGTTTGGTTGATTTTGTGACAAATAATTGGACTCGTGACCTGAAAATTGTGATTGTGACTCTCAATTGTAACTCACAATTTAGGAGTTATAGTTGATCGTAGCGATTTTGGTGGTCATGGTGATGGTCGTGACTGTTTGATTAATTTGTGACTCACAATCGGTTACGTGACCTGAAAATTGTGACCGTGACTCACAATTTGATACGTGACTTGAAAATTGTGACTGTGAGTCGTAAGTGTTGGTGGTGATTACAAATTATTTGGTTGATTGTGACCATTAAATTGATTGATCTGTGACCAATGAAAAAGATAAATTCTGATCGAAAAATAATGTGCGATCTAAAAAATTGTTAACACGTGACCGATAATTTAATAATTTGTGACTGTGTAATAAGTTGTGACTTGTAATATTTGTGATTTGTGATCAATAAATAAATCGTGACTTATAAACTTTTCGATTTGTGACCGATGAACAAACTGTGACCTATAAAATTTTTGAACTGTGATCGTAAAATAAATTGTGACATAAAATTTTTGATTTGTGACAAAAAAATAATAAGCGATGAATTAAATTGTTAATTTGTGACCAAATTATATAAATATGTGACTTAAATATATTTAATTACTAAAATAATTAATTAATTAAATTATAAATAAATTTTAATAAAAATTTAATTTTTCAAATTTGAAACTTGTTTTCTTGTTTTTGAAATGTGTCAAAACTAATCTCTTACTTATGAAATTTTTCCAAAAAAAATGGTGGACTTCCTGAATTTGGGCTTAGGCAAGCATGGGCTGTAGTCCTGGCCAGCCCATGCCTGAATTTGTCCCTGCAACCGGCATCTCAGGAGAGTGTTTGTTTGTGAGTAATGTTTGCTACAAAATGCATGCAGCCGGCCGGCCAGGGCATGTCTCGAGAGTGTACTCAGAATCAGGGGAATAAAGAGTGATAAGAAAGGCAGCATACACTTAAATTGAGGTTTTCAACATGGGAGATGCTAACATGTGAATTTGTTCAAATGTTTACAGCACACATTTTTTTGCAATATTGCACAGTATTTTCACGTTCACAGTTTAATAGTCCTTTGAATTAATCTCCTTGCACAATGAATTTGTAAACAAGGATGGACCCAAAATTATAATTCAGTAGGGACGAGATAGAAATTGTGCTACAATAAATTGTGAAAGAAATCAAAAAAATCTGAAATTCTAAATTTGAAAAAGCCCAATTGAAGATTTTTAAAAATTCGGTGAGGACGACCAACCCGCTTGACCATTACCAACTTCCTTATCAGTTGGTCGTCCATGCACTAGAATTAAAACACTTGACAGATGGTGACAAATAAAAAATTGAAAATGAAAACCACTGAAAATTCAAGTAGCAATTTGTGCATCCAGTAATCATTATCTGGACATTCTTCTTTTACCAATTTTAAAGGTGCCAATGTGCTTGTACTAACTGGTATTCAATAGACACTATTAAGGAGACGACTCTCGTTACCGTGAAGTCATCTTTTCGACTTATTCCAATCAGATGACTCAATCTCTCACTTGGACTGGTCTAGAATCTTCAGAATCGGCGTCTGATGGTCTTAATCTCCACTGTGGAATTAACTTGACATCTTGGCTTCATCCTTCGATCAGTCTTGCAAGTGCAGAGTAATAACCAATTAAGCACTATAATTTTGTAAAAGGAATTAGAATATGGAGATTCTGTAACTTTTCTTGAAAATAAATTTTTCGAACCAACCCCAAAAGACAATCGAGTTAGAGAAGAAGCGCATATGTTGGAGAAAGAAAAATATAAGATATTGATGCTACAGAAAAGAATGGCTAGAGTTATGATAAGTTCTAGCATAAATGCAGGAGTTCAAGAACAAAGAAAATCCATAAGTAACAAAATACAGAAATATTACTTAACCTCCAAAAGAGAAATAATATAGTGTAGAGAAATACAGAAAACAACTAAAAGCTAAGCAAGTTAACCCTCAAGTCATGCTCTACAGAAACTTTTCAGATGCCAAATGAGTAAGAAAAAAGCCTAATGTACCGCGTAATCCCAGCATCGGCTCATCAGAAACTCAATATTTGAACCGGGTATGCTTGTGTACGACACTGTTGCCACGTTCTCTTACGCAGTTCCCAGGCAAAAGGTATTTGTATTTCTCAGCATTATTCAACAAATGCGCGGGGAGATGAACAGCCGAATAGGAATGGGGAATAGATCCCATTTTGCTGATTATGTCCTTGAAGGTATATTCCTCAGGTAACATATCGTACAAATTGGCCCCTCTGCAAATAAGATCCTGAATCCTTTTCGGACTGAGAAAATGAGAGAACCTCACTCGATCATTGTGGCTGTAGGCTTTCATCTTGAATATGAAGTCGCTTATATAGCGGAAACAAAAGCTACAATGCCAACCGGCATCAGACAGTATGTAGTCCGTCTGACGATAATGTGCGTACCTAGTCCTCCCACTCTGGTACCTATGAACAGAAGCTCTCCAACTCTGATCGTCAAATTTAAACTCAAAGGAGTACAAGTAGTTCTTCAGCTGAAGATGAAGGATCGGAGGGATGTTATCACACCATCGCAATAGATTGATCGTGTGGCTACTAGGAATCTCATCGACATCAGACATTATGAGCAAATCATCATCCTCGATGCCAGCTATTTTGAGAAGTTGGTCGAGTGCAACCCTCTGATACCCCTCTTCGACAAACGGGCTTTCACCTCTCCTAAATCTTCCACTAATTTTTGCATAAGTCAATCGAGGCTCCACAAATTTAAACTCGTCCCAGTTTAAATCGAAATAGTAATGTTTGAGTAAGCCACTGAATGTAGAATTTGATTCAAGAAGAACAAACCGTGTAATGTAAGGATTCAGTTCTTTCCATCTGATTGTGAGCATGTCGACTTCATTACTGAATAGAACCGCATCAAACACACGCCTCGGGAATTCTCGAATTCCCCACCCGTGCAACTTGCAAAGAGCGTCCATCGAGACGTTCTCATGATAATAGTGGGTTATGGGGACAAAGGGCTTCAAAGGAGATTGCCAAAGCGGCCGAAGGAAGTAGCTAATCTTCTGCTCGTGAAAATATATGCCAACCATGCCTGTCGGAACAATCAGGAATAAAAAGACAAATGCCTTTATATCCAGACCTTGGAGCAACCACCTGACTCTCGACATGCTTAAGGCTTCCAGGGATTCCTGTGCATGTTAAAACAGATAACTCCTAAGATACTAAGATTAAACATATCAGATAACAAAAGATGAAACCATCCTCAGTCGACTCTGATTTGCATATTTTGAAACTAAATTTTTCTTCAAATCGAAAGTGAATCTTTATTAAGTACTTTCATGGTCATAACAAAGTACTATAGATACAACCATTATCAAATTTGATGATATCAGGAGCCCAATGAACAGAAAACGAACACGAAAATGAAAATAAAAATAAAGAGGAAGAAGAAGAAAGCCACTGCAATCAAACAGACTAACAACAAATTACTTAGAATGCAATAGTACCTTAAAAATTCTGTAGGAAATAAAGGAAAACTGCAGAAGGGCTAAAACCTGAGAAAACAGAGAACAATAGAAATCCCATGATTTTGCCGCAGCAAGAGTTAAAACACATGAACAAACAATTGTAAACACCAGTCGAGAAGGTTTTAAGGTTATTTACATACACGTTCCTGCATTTATAAACACAAACATATGGGACACAGAAATAAACCCACAACTGTTAAATCACAAAATCCCAAAACTAATAGATACCTTTTTCCAAAACTCAAAAACAACCCAAGAATTTCAATTTTCGACGAAATTAAGAAACTCTTTCACTTGTTCTGAATAAAAAAAAAATGAGAATTTAACAAAGAGAGAAGCATATACCTGACCATAAACATCTTCAAATATATCATCACTCTTTTTTAAAGTGTCATACCTATCCGGCTTTAAGAATCCAAAATCTTTCTTTACGTCTTCAAAAAGCATAATGAGTGTGAAATTTCAGACCCGCCACCCCTCTCCGAAAGTTCTCTCTTCTGCTGCAAATCCCTCCGAATATGATAACATATATAGGAATACTTGATTATATCTACAGAGGGAAAAAGAAAGAGATTTTTCTTAATGGAAAAGCATGATCATAGAAGAGAAATTGATGATGTCCCAAACCGCCAAATTTTCTACATTTGCACTGGGAATCCGCTAATTATATCCCGTTTGGTGGCATTTTCCTCTTTCTATATAGATACATACATGCATCTGTTTCTTTCTTTCTCTAGTTCTTTAATTCTGTGTGCTCTCTCATAGCCCTTTCCCATTTCAGAGGAACATGAGAAGGAGCAAGAGGTTGGTTAAGGAGATGGAATAGAAATAGAGCTTTTTCCAAATCCTTTTCAACTTCCCATTTCCAGAGGAAGTGAAAAGTTAAAAAATAAAAAATAATAAAAAAATCACTATTAGGCAGCAACAACTAAAAAATATAAATAATATTCTACGGATATCCCTTCTTAAGAGCTTGTTTTTCTCCCATTTTGGAAGAAATTATAGTGTTTTGAATAGTAAATTTTGAAAAATGTGTGGTTGAAATTTTAAATTCTTTTATTGATTTGTATATAAAATATTTTATTGTGTGAATGTGATAAAAAAATATTATTGTAGCAAATAATTTATTTTGTTAAAGGATAACCTGTGAAGTCGATTCTATTAATTTTTTAAAATATGTAAAAAAAAAAATGGATTAAATTATGTTTATTCCACATATTTTGTTGAAATCGCATCAAACTCTCTCTATTTCCATTATGTTAGATTATTTTGTATGATGATAATATAGTAATTTGCTACCAACTAAAATATGTGCATGTAAAGAATTGAATCGATGCACAATATAACAACAGCTACATACTTCTTTCTTTCAACATGTTTATTAAACATGTCACTCTCATCAATTTTGAAAGTTTCTTTTTTGTTATTAAATTAATTTAATACTAAAAAGAGCATTACACTATAAATTATGCCCCCGTTTGTTTCCAATTTTTTAACCCAATTTTAAAGAATTGAGTAGATCTTCAGCCCACATTGTTGCCTTCTTCTCTCGCAATGGTCCCATGTGCTGGCAAAAAAGGGTCAAAAAACTCATTATTTTCTTCAAAGAATTGGAAACATACAGGGGCTATAGCTCGTGATATTATGTGTTTCAAAATAAAATGTTTCATTTTTAGTAGATAAACATTTATATCTCCATTTATTATCAATAACAACAAGGATAAAACTTTATTGTTGAGATTTTGTGAGGGGGAAAAAAGAAAATTAAAAAAAAAAAATTGGTGGGATGTTGGAACTCTTTGAAATGAGTTTCGTCCGTTTTTTTTTTTTTTTTTTTTGTTTTCTTTGAAATGAGTTTGTTCTTTTTTTTTTTTTTTTTTTTTGGTTCTTAGTCTATATTTTTTAAATAAGTTTCTTTATTTAGAATTACTCATTTCAACTTGTCTCGAACAAAAATACCAAATCCTTTCCATTCGAAAGAGATTTGTTTGGTAGCAAAGGAAGCTTCGTAGAAAGTCACAAGAAGAAACTATATGGTTTGGGACAAAATGTTGGATAGCATAAATCAGAATATTCTACCGTATTGGGGCCTTTGCAGTATATAGATAGTGACTATTCATGTGTTTGTTGATTGCCAAATTGAAGAAAGAAAAAATAATAATGAGAAACTAGAATTTTCACGTTACATAAAAATGTCTAGAGAGATAAGTATAAATTTAAGTTTGATTCCATAGTTTAAATTATCTATCAATTAATTGATTGTTATGTTGTTGATGTTTAGTATAAAATAAATATCGGTATTTTATAGAGAGAGAGAGAGATTCCAAGCATCGCTATGTCAATAGTACTTGTAAAAAATACACAGGTTGAAAATTAAGATTGTGTTACGTTGAAAATTAGGATTGTGTTACATTAAAAATTATTCAAAAAATGAGGTAGATGAAGAGTGTGTTACGAAAGTACAAATATAGTTGAAATTTCTCGATGCACCTAAACCTTTTACAAAAGAAAACTTTACTCAAATAAACAAAAAAAGTGGCTTTTTTAAATTTTCTTTTCTGTTTTATTATTATTATTATTAATTTTAATTTTAATTTTTTTTTGTTTTGTTTTTGTTTACATAGTGCTTGCTTGATAAAGTTTTTGTTTTTTGAAAAGAAGATCAAACTTCATTTTAGACCATACATATTATTGAACCCACAACTTTTATATTTTGACTTATTTCATGAGATACCATCAACTTTTTGAAAAAGTATTTTAAAGACGATAATGATATAATTCTTTTGAGAGTCTTTTTTGTAACATGTCATACATAAGTTCTTAGGTTAAAGGAGATTCAAGTGGATGGTTGACAATGTTTTAAAATTAGAAGGCTTTGAGAATTGGAGAATTTTTTATTGGGTGGGTTCAAAGAAAAAAAAGATTTTTTGTATACATTGCTTCCTTTCTTCTTATATCAATAACTCAATCAAAATGCAATTATCTCCAAGAACAAAATACCTGTTATGCTCGATTTTTAAATTGCATTGAATCCATTTTCTATTTTAGAGTGAATAGTGACCTTATAAATTTATTTATTTTTACCTTAATTAAGTTTAATTCATTAAATCCAAAGCATTTGGTGAAACTTTTTATACAAGGTTAGTCGTAGATTAGCAGGCCCGAGTACTTTACCATTTTTTATTTATTTATTTTTGTTTCTGAAGTAACTTTCATCAACTAGCACTAGTTTGATGTGAACTATCTATGCTATATATGCTTATGGATGTCGGTCAACTCCCGCCACTACATCTAATCTATGTTGAAAAGGATATTGCTGCATATACATTAAGATTTACGTAAGAAATTATATAATGTTCACATGACATTTCACTATTTGCTAGTTTAAAACATAGTCAAATTTTTGACCCAATCTTTTTCCTTCGCGACATTTTTGATAATCACTTATTTACCAATTTTATGTACAAATAGCAAAATCCATATCAGAAATTCTAGCGATTTTGGAAAAGTAAGCATTGTAGGACTATTTTGTTCTCATCTGTAAGCATTGGTGCTATTGTTCTGGTTATTGACCTAACCATTTGTTAAATTAAAGAAAGGAAAAATTGCAACTGAGATCCCTAACCTTTTACATTTTTACAAACTTTACTATAACCTTCACTTTGTGCCACTCACAATCTCAAAACTTTCAAAAATATGCATCTAAAGTTCAAATAGATGGATTTGACCATTAGTTGACTAATAAAGTATCGATTTTGACCAAATTAAAAATGATAAAATTGTAACTTTTTATTTTTCTCACTTTAAAAAGGTTAAAAATAAAATTAAAAAACCAAAAAAATAAAAATTAACCCTTCTTTCTCCCACTCTACTCTTCCCCACCCACACCGACTGCCGACGTTGCCACCCAAAGGCCGAACACCATCACCACCCACACAACGTCAACACCGTTGCCCAAAGGCAGCAACCATTGCCACCGCACATCATCAACCTCGCCGTTCAAAGGTAGGCGCTACCACCACCCAAATAAGAAATACAATCAATCAAACAACCACTCAATCCCACCAAATCAAACTGCCAACCACCCTTAATTGGAACGTCAATTGAAGCAATTAAATGGTTACCAGTGGTCGTACAAGTTTCCTCAAAGTTTTGCCTAGCTCCAGTGGAATTCAATTTTCCATTATCTTCTGTGCTCAAACAAAGAAATGGGAGCTTAGAGATTCAAGAAACGGATTCACCATTGAATGTTCACAGTTTCTTCATAGCCACTAGATTGGGGCCTTGGAGTACAATCTTCGGAGCAACTTTTAGGATTTTTTGAGTAAGGTTGTTGAATTTAATGTTGAAATCTCATGTAGGCATTTTTGGATTATTTTGGATTGGGTAGTGGATGCATTTTCGAATTTTTTTGAATTGAGTTCGAAGTTTGAAAATGGGTAGTTACCAACAATGGTGATGATGATGGTGAAAAGATCTATTTTGGTGGTTGTGAATAGCTTTCTGGTTTCGTTTGGGTGGAGGTGGGAATGGGGGTGGAGTGGGGTGAGAGGAAAAAGGTGGGAGTGGAGGTGGCCGGTGGATGACGATCGACCACCACTGACAATTTTGACTTGTTTGGAGTGGTGGGGGTGGGAAAAATGATGATGCTCCCTTTTCTTTCTTCCCTTTTTCTTTTCTTTATGATTTATTTATTTATTTATTAACTTATTTAATGGAAGAAAAATGCAAAGTACTATTTTACCCCTTAAAATTTAATCAAAATTGGTTGAAGCCCACTTTTCTTGATCATTTTCATTCATTTGAACCCCAGCTGCATATTTATGAAATGTTAAGGATCTTCGTTGACACAAAATGAAGATTAGAGTAAAGTTTGCAAAAATTGAAAAGATTATGAACCCCTAATACAATTTTCCCTAAAAGAAATAAGTCAATTTTTACTTTGTCATTTCATGTCGTACACTAAGTCAAATTTTCGATAAACTTGGGTTGGCTGCATTAATATTTTTTTCATTACTTGTACTAACAAAAGGTAAATCTATTGGAAGATCCGAAGAAATCAAATCTTCTGTGATAAAGTTCAGCTTAAGAAATGGAAAAAAGGAGGAAAAAGATCATAATTTAGACGTATATTTCTGATTTTGATTTAGAAAGATCACATCCGATCAAAAATTGCAATGTTCTATGCACAAACACGCGCACTAATAGGATTTATAAAGAAGAAAAAAATTGAACTTACCCACTTGGTCCAATTCAATAACAAGCACTTCAAATTTCTTGAGAAACAATATTAAATGACATAAAATGTAACATGATCTACAATTTGCATTAAAAAAAAAAAGAAAAAAAGAAAAGAAAAATCAGCAAGGACTTACGCGCACCAAGTTTTGGAGCAAACAACTGGATTCTCAATCACAGTCTTCTTCACACTTTCCTCCAAGCTAGAAGCAGTGGCAAGTTGCCCCCCGGGACATAGTTCAGTGGTGCAAAGGACATGAGTGATTATCTCACGCCTTACTGGCAGCCATAGTGTGGGAGTTCAATTCCTGAGACATGAAATTGGACTCCTTGTAGGCACAGTGTACAGCTCTTGTTTCCTGGTCTGCTGAGGCACATCCCGCGATTTACCTCCCTCACAAAGCTCATGGAGCGGGGCGATGGGAGCCCTCAAGGTTGGGGTTCAACCCTTTTTTTTAAGCAGTGGCAAGTCTAGCTGCACCGCTTGAACAAGAAGTTCTAAAAGAAAATGACAAACATGAAAAGGGGGTTGGGGGGCTCACAGATAGACTGTGGCGGCAGGCAACAGGCAGTGGTGAAGTGGAGGCAGTGGCAGTCCGACAGTGGAGGAGCTGAGCTGCTGAAACCTTAAACCTGAAGGAATCATGGTTGGCTAGAAGTTGTGGGAAGGAGAGTCAAGGGATTGTTTTGCCGTTTCTGATTTTGGAAATCAGAAGGCATATGCATACAGACACGGACTAAAGCAGCCAGGCCCCTTTTTTGGGCCAATTTGAAAAAAAGAAGCCAAAAGGCACACTTCTAATTGGATAAAAAAAAGGAAGAAGAAGAAGAAGTTAGCTAAAGCTTTAAATCCTGACGGAGCCAGCACGAACAGCCACTGCCGTCTCGCCGAGTGCTGGCTCCATCGCTGTGAGGCGAGATACTTAACACGTTAACTACAGTACTGCACAGGTCGTGACCTCTCGAGAAAGATCAACCTATTATCTCTAGAGTAACTTTTATCCGTTAAGCAATGGCCTTCCACACGGCACCATTAGGCCAATAAGGCTACTTTCATCTTTGCTCGAGGGTAGATCTTCCAGTTAAGCTCCCTTCTACCTTTGCACTTGAGGGCCACCCTCATAATCATATTGTCTAGTCCAATTTCCTGTCCAATCAGGTTATGTGATTGAAGGCATGCCGTGTAGAGATTGGTTCACTTATAGGACACAGAAAATGTAGGCAACCAATTGTACAGAATATAGTGTCCTGATCGTTGTTCTTGGCCAGGTAGCGAGCATGACACTTGAATTTTCCTCCAGATTCTCATAATAGGAGCTCGTACCCGGCCACAAACCTTTAAGGCACCTTTAGTAACAGGGCTGAAGAAAACTGGACTATGTGAAAGGAGTTTAAATTTCACGCATTGCATTAACTGACAGAATATGGGATTATATACTTGCTAGCTCACCATTATTATGTCGCATCCCAACTATCTCAAAACACACACAGTGAGATCAAAAACCAACATTCTATAATTAACAGCAAAGAAACTGCAAAATAAACATGTAAGGACCAAATATTATCAGATTCACTGATCAAGCATGCTTAGGCTTAACTATTTTCTTTGGAATCCCAGATTTCATCTCAAATTTACAAAATACAAATTCTAATCTCACTAGAACAGATGAATTGGATATTATTTTAACCCCTTTCTTCGCAGCCTTCTTAAGCACAAACAAAATTCTTGAAACAGATCAATCACAAACCCTAATTGCACCTACAGTTGAAATAATATATATTCTTGGATAGATTATACAAATTTCTAAAACAAACCTACTGTTCAGTTAATGCTTCCATGAGCTCGTGTGCGGACGATTCCCAAATTGGAAGGTCAGTGAATTGCTGCTTCAATCTCTCCTCTTGGGCACTGCACAAAACTTCTGCTAAATCGCACAAAAACGAGACGTCTCGAATTATCGCCTCTTGTGCACCAGCCTATTAATTGAATAAAGAAAATTCCAATAAACGAGGTGATATGCGGAAAACTGAAAACTGAAACCCTAGAGAGGGCGGAACTCGAGTAGTACCTGAGAGAAGAGCTCGTCAATGAGTTGCCGGTGGGTGGAATCCGATGTGGACTGTGCTGACGGTTGATTTGAACTATTGGCTTCATCAAAACAACTCGTGGAATTCAATTCTCGACGCTTCTGCGTTTGTATATTAGCGGTTTCTTGCATTTCCTTCAAGGTGTTCGACAATAGTTCCCACTGGCGGAATTCTTTCAAGTACTTGTCTTTGAGTTTGAGGAGAGCCCTTTTCTTCCTCCGGCGACGATGCTTCTCTTCCACCGCCGGATCTGGCGGATGCGGAGGTGCGGTGGAGGAGGTGGAGTTGAGGCGGGGCCGCTTCTTGCGCTTGTATACAAAGCCGTCGTCATTTATTAGTTCCCATTCCACATCGTCTTCCCGTTGTGCTGTAGACATGGAATCGAATTCTCAATCCGAGCGCGAGAAATCAAGATTTGGAACAAACTAAAAGAGGGATTCAACGAAAATTTGAATCGAAATGAAAAGAACGGGAATCCAATTCTGAGTTCGGGTGGATCTTTGTCGGGTCTGAAGAGACCGTCAGAAATCAATTTGAAATTTTTGGAGAAGATAAAAAAATTTCTATCATGCTACGGAGTTGAATCCAAGCTCGAATTTGGATGGGACACATATGACGCATGCATGATTGGAAGGGGCGAATGTAAGCATTTTATATTGAGTGTCACAATCAAATTTAAAAAAAAAAAAAAAGCGATGAATTTTTTTTTATTTATTATTTTATATGAATTATAAATTGTTATATTATTTTTTCATCTTAATTATTTTTACATCTAAAAATTTATATGTATAAAAAAAAATTTGATCATTTTTAGGATTTTTTTTTATTATTGTTAACTTTTCCTCTCAATCAATTAATTTTTTTAAAAAAATAATCTAATAAAAATTTTGACGTCATTTGAAAAAAAAATTAATTGATCGAGAGGAAAACGTAACAATAATAAAAAAATTCTAAAAATGATTGAATTTTTTATATATAATTTTTTTAGATATAAAAATAATTAAGATGAAAAGTAGTATACTAATTTATAACCCCTATGAAGTAATAAAAATTTTATTAAGAATTTTTACATCAAAATAAAATAAAATTTGACGTTATACCACTTATAAAATTTCCTAATAAAATGATGAAAATTATATTAAAAAAATTTTCGAGCAAAAATAATAAATATTAATAAAATAATTGATTTTTTTATACGTCTTTTTTGGTATACACGTTTGACGTACATTTAACTATTTTCGATATTCATTTAGATTATCGATATATTTATGATATAATTTTCGAAATGAGTTTCGAGAGGATATAGAAAATTTATGGATATGGCTAGTGTATAATCGTCGAAAAAATTTTAAAGTTAGCTTGTTATCGAAATTCTCAAAATAGTAGTTTGGTACTGTCTATTTGACGTGTCATGACATTTGCTACGATTGACCATTTCGCACAACATTAACGATGTAAAAATACTAGACTGTGAGTACTTCAAAATGATATTAAAAATGTAATAATTCAATTTCATTTGATATTTCATAGTGAGCGAAAAAAATTTTTTGATAAAATTGGAGGTTCTAGTGGCCCTAGGGCACCCCCCTCGAGTCCACTCCTGATTGGAATGCATTGGGTAGTTTAAAAAATTAAAACAAAATTACTTAGTTATTTTCTAACACATTAGTATGTCTCTCACTTCCTATTTTTAAGTTTGACTAAGTAGCTTTATCCAAAAAAGAAAATTACTATTTATACACTAATTTTTGACACGTTAATTGACACTTGTATTGTTGTCAAATATTAATTGGATAAAAAAATTGTTTGAAATTTAAACTGTCCAATAAAATAATGTCACGTGACAAAGTATAAACTAAAGTGTACACCATAGTGTACATGTAGCAAAGTTCTTCAAAAAATTTGTTTCAAGAGGACAGATTGAAGAGAGTAGTTGAAAACGATTGTGCAACATATATAATAATTTTAATAGATATAGTGAGTATTTGAGTCACGTTATTTTGAAATAATGTATTTTGAAATAATAGATTGATGGAAAATGAATAATTAAATAAAGAGGAAAAATTTTGAATTTACGTGTAATATTACTTTGTTGAAGAATGTATGGTTGAAATGATATTAAATCACTGCTTAAGAATATGTATTTGAAATAATGCATCTTAACACAAGGCCTAATGTTAGATATAATTGAAACAGAATTTTTTCAACCGAATAAAAAATGGTACATCTCTACTCTCTTTCTCATACATCTTTTGTATGCAAATCATTATAAATTCTATTATTTACATGTAGCATTATTCAGTTGAAAAATAGCCTCAATGTTTGCTTGGGAGTTTCCAGGTCTCGATTATGAATGTTTTTTAAAGTATCAATTTTGAAAGTTTTTTTAAAGAATAAAATTACATATACGTTTTTTAAATTACGTGAAAAGTTAAGTGTTATTTTAATGTCATATTATTTAAGATTGAGTAAATGAGAGAGAAATATATATATATATATATATAAAATAAAAAAATGCTGTTTTTATAGCATTTTTTTTACAGTAATTTTCACACTTTCTCACAAAGGTGGGATCCACGATTATTTTAATCGTGGATTCCACCCACTTGCATGTGTGTGTATTGTGAAAAAAGGTGTAAAAAGTGATGTACTTGTAAAATTGTTGATTATATTATAAAAGGTTGAACCACAACCTTAAGGGTCCCCGATTGCCCTTGCTCTGGAGTATCGTGAGGGAGGTAAATCGCAGGTTATGCCTCCAAAGGTACAGGGTGGAAGGCTGCTTGTACACTTGCACTTACCCAAGAGCTAAATCCATATTTCAGGATTCGAACCCTTGACACGGCAGCCTCAAGCAAAACTAGATTTCTCCACCCTCCTCTTTTACCACTGAAGATGTGCCCTAGGAGCAATTGTTGATTATATTATAGTAAGTACAGGTGGTGGCGTGTGGATAAGGACGACGCTTTTGTCTTTTGTTTGAGCTCAATTGCACTTTGTGATTCTCAAGAGCATCTCCAATTTATGCACCATTTCATCAAAATGCACCAAATTTTGGTGCAAATTTCCTCTAATGTAGCACCAAATTTTGCATCGTTTTGCAACACTATTCAGTTTGCATCATTTTGGTGCAAAGTGTATAACATCATTTTTACCCTTACTCTTCATTTCCCAAATAAAATGATTAAGGGTATTTGTGTCATTTGTGCTATATATTTTTAGTTATAATAAATTATTATTATTATTTGAATTTAAAATAAATTTTTAATACAATAAATTATTAATTTTTGGAAGAACATATGAATTACTTACAAAAAATTTCCGACTTCATAATATCTACATTCAAAATGTATTGCATTATTTTTTAGTAGCATGACTTAATATTTCCGTTGTTGTATTTTTTTTTATTAATTGTACTATGTTTTTTATATTTATTAATGAATTTATTTTTTCCATAATTTAACATAATTATTTATTTAGTAATATATGTATCTATAAAATAATTAAATAAAAAATATTTAAAATAAATAAAATACTAAGAATAAAAAAATGGAAGAAAATGGTTAACACTGTTCATTTGGTATAAATTTTAACGTAATGGTTGGAGGTGAATTTTGATTTGCTACAAGATCTAATGCAAATTTCATTGGAGCAGTGAAAATGGTCTAAGATGCCCAATCAACCAATCAAAATAAAACTTTTCTCATTTTCAGTTTCTCTTTTTTGAATTATTGCAGCATATCCTACTTTGTCATTTTGCCCTCACCATTCCACTCTCATTTAATTAATTATTAATATTTTAAAATCAACTCGAAAAAAATATGGAGTCGAAGATCGAAATGTTGATAAGGATAAAATTGGTAGAATATATTGATAAATCAACTGTACTATATATGAATTTGTAATTTAATTGGCACTTTGCTTGCGTTTGACACTACTTTTTTATAAAATTGATTTTAATAAGTAATTAGCTAGACACTGGTTGAATCAACCGGTTAGAAAATAGTTAAGACAATGAACATATTAATTTTATTTTGTCGATAATAAAGTTTGCCAGTTTGTTTCTACCTTTACCTTCAACAAGTTGAATTGTTCTTTTCAATTGTTTGATTTTTGATAGACTCTATCGACTTTTGTATTATATTTTAAAAGATTAATATAGTTAAGAGAAATGGTACAAAGTGATTATAGTTTATCATATTTAAAGGTATGGGATTTTATGCCAGATAAACTAAGGTATACCTTGACAATTAGTTTTTATTGAAATTTTCTTTTCTTTTTATATACGTTTCAATTTAGAATGATGGAAGGACCATTTTGCCTTTTGTACTTTTCAAAATTTCTAGTAAAATGGGTTAAGCTAATAAAAAAATAAATGAAATTCATTCATTTTGATGAACACCATCTATTTTCTGAAGTCTGAGAGAGAGAGAGCAAATGAAATTAAAGACGGAGAATTTTTGTTGCTATTTATCGAAATAATAATTCAACTTTTAGATAACATGATGCAATGATATATATGTATTCAATGTGGATCATCATCATGTGAAGTGTCATTAAATTTAAGAGTCAATAAAAGTGAGTTTCGTATCTATAAATTTGATTGTCTTATCATTTCGTCCAAAATCATCTGTCACATCACGTGGAGTGAGAAAATATTGATACCCTTGTTGATTAATGATTAAAATTTATATAATTTTAACCACATATTTTATGATATTAACAAATTTCAATCAAATATTTATCAATTTTTATTAAAAAATTGATTTTAATTTTTACCTAACAGAGACAAAATGTACAATCAATATATATATATATATATATATATATATATATATATATATATATATATACAAAAAAATGTGTATTAGTGTAAGCTCCAGTTTGGTTTATCTTGAAAAGTTGAAAAAATTTAAATCAAAGTCAATAATTTTAATTACACATTTTATGGAACTCACAATTTTTATCAATTCTATAGCTACACATTTTATCAACTTTTGTCAACATCTACTAAAAATCTATTTTTTCCTCAAATTCATTTTTAACCACACATTCTTTTAATAAAATAAATTTTCACGTACACCTAAAACTCTTTCCTTATTTTTTTTTAACCATACATTCTCTAAAAATCACTATTACAAAACTCATACAAAAAATAAAAAAATAAAAATGGGTCGCAAACAAACTCTAATTATGTTGTGCTAATTTCATTAATCCTCTATTTCGCCTTTATTTCTTAAAACTTATTTTTAATCGCATTCTTCCAATAAAATAATTTTACACATGAATTCATAGCTTTTCTTTACTTTTTTTAATATTAAAATTTTTAAATAAATCACTTTCATAATCTATTTTCGAAAAATCTCTACCAGCACAGCTATATTATTATTTTCAGTAGATTCGATTAAGATACAAAATAAATATTATTCAACTCTGAAAAAAGAAACAAATATCAATTATGAAAAATAGGAAATATAGAATAAAATAAATAATTGCTTGCTAACCAACACAAGGAACCCAACTTCCATGTTGAATAGAATTGAGCTCAAAGTTGGGACAGTCGAGTTAGTTAGGCTCAATCCATTTCCCGAAAAACTTTGTGACTAATTTCGCAGTTATGGATATTGCTCGTAATTTTTCCTGTTAGGTAAAAGAAGTGTAAAAATGGCGGGAGTCCTTGTACCCAACAAAACCAAAAACTAATACAAATGA